TTTTTCGCGGGCTCGAACCCGCGACCTCTGTACTACTTGCCTGATATGGACACTTCGTTATCTACTGTACGATTAGATTAGATGGGGCGGCAGCGCACGGCACAGCTCGGGCCCCGCTGACACAGCCGCTCTGACTCACCGGCCCCCGGGGCCGAGTCGGCATGCTGCGCACAGACCAGCTGCGCACGGACCAACGTGCACAGCCTGCCCTAATCTCCCTATGTATATAAGCCGGCCTCTGCTGCCCTAGGGACCTCAGTTTCGACCTCTTGTCCCTAGGTCAGTAAGCCCCTGTACTTACTTACTTATTCAATGCTAACTACTTGTCCCTAGCCTTAGGTTTGAGCACTGCTCACCATCGCTTCGGTGAGACTTAGTCGAACGCCCCCAGCTCCTTTTAGGTTTTCCCCTGTCGCTAGACCTCAAGTCGCGACAGCTTCGGCTGTGGGAAGCAAGGGTACCGACGATTCGAGTGCCCTAATTGTAAGGACAAACCTTACACAAAACGCGCCGATGCGCGGGCTACGGTTGCCTCGGGATCCACCCAGGCCGCGACAAGCGCCCCCGTCACGACAACACCCTCGGCAAGTATAAGTGCCGCTTCAGCGAAATCCGAGCAATCGGAGCTGGCGGACTTAATGGCACAGGTGAAGTCGATGCGTGAGGAGCTTGAGCACTATCGGGCAATGAAGGAGGAGGGTTTTTGATCCGGTCCGCGCTTCGTGCCGCACGCGTCGGGCCGCATATATCCTGTAACAAGTATAATATATTGTCTACTGCGATGGTGTACGAATTGGACCAGGGGTCCCAACATTTTCACATCCCAGTACGACTTCAAGGGAAAAGACGGCACAAGGACATAATCGCTATGGTGGACAGCGGAGCCACCACAAAGTTCATCAACAAGCGATTCATTGAAGAGAATAAGGTGCAGACGCGGAAGCTGAAAGAACCGATTCCGCTCTATAATATCGACGGCACCCTGAATAAAGATGGAAGCATCTCAGAAGTAGCAGTACTACAGATGCACATAGGAGAACACGTCGAGAAGACGGTGTTTACGGTCACGGACATCGGTCCAGAGGATGTGATCGTCGGGTTGGATTGGCTACGCGAGCACAACCCCGAAATAGATTGGGAGAAGGGCTCCCTCAAATTGTCACGATGCCCTGAAACGTGTAGCGCCAGGAGGACTGGCCGAATGGAGCAAGCAGCGACTGCGCGTGATACGGGGGTCAGGCCCACGGCGCGCAGGCGTTCGCCGAAGTCCAAACGGTCGGTCATAGGTGCCTGCCGGAGCAAGGTGCTCCCGGACTTCGAACCCGAAGAAGATTCGGTGGAAGTGGAATGGGATGAGGCTGACTTGATCGAAGCTTGGGAGCGGGGTATCACGCTTCCCGGCGCCCCTCAGCTGTTTGTCGCAGCAGGGCACACGTATTCCCAGCTGTTCGCTGAGGAAGAGATCAAGAAGAAGGTCGTTAAGACCGCCGAGGAGTCGGTACCCAAACAGTACCACGAGTTTCTAAAGGTCTTCTCGAAGGAAGCATCAGAACGGCTACCCGAAAGAAAGCCGTACGATCATGTGATCGAACTCGTACCCGGCTACTCGACCTTCCATTCGAAGGTATACCCATTGTCGAACAACGAGCAGGAGGAATTGGACAAGTTCCTAAAAGAGCAGTTAGCAAAAAGCTACATACGGGAGTCGAAGTCACCAATCTCGTCCCCCTTCTTCTTCATCAAAAAAAAGGAAGGGACACTTCGACCCGTGCAGGACTACCGCCGATTGAACGCGATCACGGTCAAAAATCGTTATCCCTTGCCGTTGATCGCCGAAATGGTGGACAAGCTCCGTGGCGCTACGCTCTTTACGAAGTTCGATGTCCGATGGGGATACAACAACGTCCGGATCAAAGCCGGTGACGAGTGGAAAGCGGCCTTCGTGACCAACCGAGGGTTGTACGAGCCCTTGGTAATGTTCTTCGGTCTCACCAACTCCCCTGCAACCTTCCAGGCGATGATGAACGAGATCTTCCACGATCTCATCGTCGGCGGCAAGATCCTCGTGTATCTGGATGACATACTCATCTTCTCTACCAACAAGGAGGAACATGAGAAGGTCACACGCGAGGTTCTGCGCCGCCTTCAGGACAATGATCTATTCCTGAAGCCCGAGAAGTGTGAGTGGGACGTTCCCAAAGTCGACTACGTCGGCTATGTGTTCGGTGGCGATGAGGTAGCGATGGATCCCACGAAGCTGAAAGGAATCAATGAGTGGCCGGTACCCCGGAACAAAAAAGATGTTCAGAAGTTCCGGGGGTTCTCCAATTTCTACCGCCGCTTCATTAAGGACTTCGCTAAGATCTCGCGACCACTCGACCGGCTCACAGGGAACGACCCATGGCATTGGGGCGAGGAAGAGCAGCATGCCTTCGATGAGCTCAAGCGGCTCTTTGCGACGACTCCAGTCTTGGCGCTATATGACCCTAATCGGGAAACGCGCATTGAAGTCAATGCCTTAGGGTACGCCACCGGCGGCATGTTGATGCAGAAGCAGGATGATGGCAAATGGCACCCTATTGCCTTCAGATCCCATGCGATGGATCCGGCACAGCGGAACTACGAGATCTACGATAAGGAGATGCTCGCGATCATTGAAGCACTGGACGACTGGCGCCACTATCTCGAGGGCCTACCCAATCAGTTCGAGATCGTGACCGATCATAAGAATCTCGAGTACTGGCGCACGTCACAGCACCTCACGCGTCGTCAAGCGCGATGGTCACTGTTCCTGGCTCGCTTCGACTTCCGCATCACACACAAGGCCGGAACGTCAAACGGAAAGGCCGATGCCCTATCGCGCCGATCAGACCATCAGATCGGTGATGAGGACGATAACACCGATCAGGTAGTTCTCAAGCCAGAGCGCTTCCGCATCGCCTCCGCCAGGCGCGGTCATGCCTCAGTGACAGCGGATCAGTCGCTTCTGAAGCGCATCAGGGAATGTTCGGAGAAGGATCGGGAGGTGGCCGAGGCACTTGAAAAGGTGCAGGAGCTCGGGCCGCCCCGGCTGCAAAGGGGTTTTGAGGAGTGGAATGCCGAACAAGGGCTTCTGCTGTTCCGCGGGTGTGTGTACGTCCCAAAGAACGCGGAGCTCCGGCGGGATATAGTCAAGATCCACCACGACTCGCCGATCGCCGGTCATGGCGGTCGTGCCAAAACCCTGGAGCTTGTATTGCGGAATTACTGGTGGCCAGGAATATCTAAATTCGTCAATGAGTACGTAAGCACCTGCGACGTGTGCAACCGTACAAAGACATTCCCAGCCAAGCCCCAGGGTCCGCTGAAGCCGAACGAGATCCCCGAGCGCCCATGGCAGATCATCACAACCAATATGATCGTCGGCTTGCCGAAGTCCGATGGGTTTGACTCGATCCTGGTCACCGCCGACCGCTTCACAAAGCAGGTCCACTTCTCGGCCTGCCATGAGATCCTGACGGCAGAAGGTGCGGCAGACCTGTACATCCGCGACGTGTTCAAGCACCATGGGGCCCCGGCCAAGGTCATATCAGACCGAGGTCCCCAGTTTGCTTCGAAGTATCTCCATGCGGTGTACAAGGGGCTAGGGATCGAGCCGGCGCTATCCACAGCGTTCCACCCCCAGACAGACGGCCAGACTGAGCGCTGGAATCAGGAGATCGAACAGTACCTGCGTGCTTTCACAAGCTACAGGCAGGATAATTGGGCAAAGCAATTGCCGCTCGCGGAGTTTGCACTAAATAACCGAGTTCACTCTGCGACTGGGCACTCCCCATTCTTCCTGCATCAAGGGTACAATCCTGAGATCCAGGTTCGGATCAATCCAATGTCTGCGATGCCCGCAGCCGCTGATCGGCTCAAGATCCTGAAGGAGATTCGCGATGACACGCGCTCTGCGCTCGAACTATCGGCCGAACGCATGAAGGTGTACTACGATAAGCACGTGCAAGAGGCACCGGTCTTTGCACCGGGGGACAAGGTCTGGCTTGATGCCCGGAACCTTAAGCTGAAACAGCCGAGCAAGAAGCTCAGTCCCAAGCACCTCGGACCTTATGCCGTGCGGCGAAAGCTCGGAGACCTGGATTATGAATTAGTCCTGCCGAAGTCGGTGCCGGTGCACCCGGTGTTCCATGTCTCCTTGCTTAGCAAGTACACGCGTAGCGATATCCCGGGCCGGGAACCGGAGGAGCCGCCAGCCATTGAGGTTGAGGGCGACGAGGAATACGAGGTTGAGCAGATCAAGGATTCGAGGATCTTCCGGCGTCAGCTGCAGTACCTCGTCAAGTGGAAGGGTTATGACGACTCGCATACGTCATGGGAACCGGCGCGCAACGTTGCCAATGCGCCGGCCCTCATAGCCGACTTCCACCGGAAGAATCCGAACGCCCCTCGCCGCCTCAATGCTGCTACCTTTGGTGGTCTCAACTTCCAGCCAATGCCTTTGCCATTGACTGAAGCACGTTGCCGCTCCGGATGGGAGATGGGCAAGGGCGCCTCGCATGAGGTCATGCGCCGTTGAGGGGGGGGTAATGTCACGACTTGGTACGGCGTCTAGCCGCTTTTTAATTTTTCCTTTTCGCGGGCTCGAACCCGCGACCTCTGTACTACTTGCCTGATATGGACGCGTCACTATCTACTGTACGATTAGATTAGATGGGGTGGCAGCGCACGGCACAGCTCGGGCTCCGCTGACACAGCCGCTCTGACTCACCGGCCCCCGGGGCCGCGTCGGCATGCTGCGCACAGACCAGCTGCGCACGGACCAACGCGCACAGCCTGCCCTTAACCTCCCCTGTATATAAACCGGCCTCTGCTGCCCTAGGGACCTCAGTTTCGACCTCTTGTCCCTAGGTCAGTAAGCATCCTTTGTATTCCTTTTCTTACCTCACTAATATATTACCTTGTCCCTAGCCTTAGGTTTGAGCATAGCTCACCATCGCTTCGGTGAGACTTAGTCGGACGCCCCCAGCATTCAAGTTTTCCTCAGTCGCTTGACCTCAAGTCGCGACACTCCCAGCTGTTCGCTGAGGAGGAGATCAAAAAGAAGGTCGTTAAGACCGCCGAAGAGTCGGTACCTAAACAGTACCACGAGTTCCTGAATGTCTTCTCCAAGGAAGCATCAAAACGGTTACCCGAAAGGAAGCCGTATGATCACGCAATCAAACTCATACCCGGCTATTCGACATTCCATTCGAAGGTGTACCCCCTGTCGAACAACGAGCAGGAGGAGCTTGACAAGTTCCTCAAGGAGCAACTAGCGAAGGGCTACATACGGGAGTCGAAGTCGCCAATCTCATCCCCCTTCTTCTTCATCAAAAAGAAGGAAGGGACGCTTCGACCCGTACAGGACTACCGCCGATTAAACGCGATCACGGTCAAAAATCGTTATCCCTTGCCGTTGATCGCCAAAATGGTGGACAAGCTCCGTGGCGCTACGCTCTTTACGAAGTTCGATGTCCGATGGGGATACAACAACGTCCGGATCAAAGCCGGTGACGAATGGAAGGCGGCCTTCGTAACTAACCGGGGACTGTACGAACCCCTGGTGATGTTCTTCGGCCTCACCAATTCCCCCGCGACCTTCCAGGCCATGATGAACGAGATCTTCCACGATCTCATCGTCGGCGGCAAGATCCTTGTGTACCTAGATGACATACTCATCTTCTCC